GGGGGGGGCGGTAGGAGTCGGGGATCGGGATATCGGGGTGGGGAAAGTGGAAGAGGGGGGGGGGGAAACACACGGGGGAAGAAGAAGGAGAATGAAAAGAAGGAAAAGAGGAGGGAAAAGGAGAAGAAATTTTAATGAAGAGAAGAAAAAGGAGAAAAAGAAAGAAAAAAAATAATAATAAAATGTTTGTTGCTTACCAGGGAACGGCGGCGACGAGGATCCAGGTAGCAACGAGSAGCACGGCGTTGGCGGCGACAGTCTTGGCGATGACGATAACGACGTGGCAACGATGACGTGGCACAACGGCGATGGAGATCTTGACGATGATCACGTGGCACGGCGCTGGAGGTCACGGCGGCGATGGAAGAGCTTACTGCTCCGATACCAGTGTAACGAGAGGGAGGCTGAGGGAGACAGGAAGAGCCGAGGGAGAGGGGAGAGGGAGAGAGAGAGAGAGAGAGAGTGAGAGCACACACATACACTCACTCACTCGACACGACTGAGGGTCGGACGCAGACACAGTGGCAAGGATACAAAGTCGAAGTCTTGGATTCCGAATGCCGAAAACAGCAAGTCAGACTGAGTACGAGTACTGCAGCAGAGAACTGGTACGAGACTGGTCCCCGTACTGTATGGGGCACCGGTATAAGTACCGGGTGTCAGCTACAGTACCGGGGCAAATCTGCAAAAGCCCCGAGGGCAGAACTGAAAAATGCAACATTTGAAAGTGGCGCCCGAACTGCAGCATGGCGCCAATTGTCCAAAATCCGACGGTGCCAAAGGAGGGGCTTGGAAAACGGGTGCCAGGCCAAAAACGTGATGCAGCAAAAACAACAAAAAGTAGACCAGGGATCGAGCCCTGGCGGAGTCCGTAACACTTGACATTGAATCAGACAACCGAAAGGACCTGTAACACAAGATAGATCAAATGCCCAGACTAAATCATCAGCATATGGGGGATAAGCCTCCATAGCACACCTCCATATAACACTTTCTAGCGCCACATGTCGAAAATAATCTAACTCCTCTGAAAACAGGAAAATTTCGGCAGCGCTTCCCGTAGGAAAAGTGCCCTCTCAGAATTTATATAAGCCTAAATATGAAATCAGAAATAACCCTTGACTCTCCAAAATCCAAATTTGTCTAACTCCTTAAATTAGCAAAATTTTGGGCAGCACTCCCTTTAGAAAAAGAGGCTTCCCTGAATTTTACTAAGCCATATATGAAATCTTGACAAGTTGAACTTTTGAGAAGTCAGAAATTTTACTAACTCCCCGAATCAGTAAAAATTTGGGCAGCACTCTCTTTAGAAAAGGAGGCTTTCCAGATTTTTACTAAGCCAGATATGATGAAAAGACAAGTCAAGCTTTGACAAGCCAAACTTTTGACTAACTCCCTGAATTAGCAAAAATTTGGGCAGCACTCCCTTTAGAATAGGACGCTTCCCATATTTTTACTAAGTCAGAAAGGCAAGTCAAGTTTGGACAAGTCAAGATTTGACCAACTCTTTGGATTTGTAAAAATTTCGGCAACGCTTCCCGTAGAGAAAGTAGCTTGCCAAGATTTATACAAGACCAAGTATAACAAAAGACCCCAGAAAATGCGAGAATTGACCAAAGTAAAAAAAACTTAGCTCAGAAAATGCAGGAATTGAAATTAACTCCTATGGCTCTAGCACGTGGCGAGCGACTAAAGCAACTACCTATCAAACTGAAACTCAGACTAAGTAGTAGCCTCACTCAGTCACATGCAGGCCAAACCACAAAGGTAAGTACTCTCACCATCCCAAAGTCAACCTGAACAAACAATAGTTCATGATCTCTTAATGATTTAATCCATTATGCCCTTTGTCTTCTAAGGCTACATATGACTGAACTAACTTAAGTTCAGCCTGCCCCAGTTTACCATCAATTCTATTCTTAGTTGTACTTTCTTCAAGTTGTGATACGGCTATAGTCAGACCACCTAAACTTATAGAACAGTCTGATTAGCTCGTTCTTAGATAGAGTAGTAATAAAGTATAGCCAAGTTATAACCATTGGGTTCCAGTATGTGCGAGGCTTTGAGCCAGACCCCTTGAACTTACAGAAGGGTCTTAACTCTCTGCAATATTCGTTTCTATCTGAGTTATTATGTGTGTGACATCGAGTCAAACCCCCTGAACTTACAGAAGGGTCTGCCTCTTTGCCAAGATTAATTCTTCAGAATAAAGAGCAGGAAGAGACTGAGCCACGTGAACTCACAGAACAGCTCGGCCTCCTCGTTCAGAAACCGAAGAAACAACAAAATCCCAATGAAAACAAGGCAACCCAAGGCGCCAAAATTTATTGAGCGCCTTGAGTCCCTGAAATTCAAGCACAATCAAAACCCCTTATAGGTCAGAGCAATCGGGTCACCTGAACTTACAGAACAGCCTAACCCTCCATGCAAACCACATCACTGGGTCTCCCCAAACTTATGGGGATATCACAGCCTCCATAGTAATCAGACCCCCTAAACTTATAGAAAAGTCTGATTTCTCCATGCAAACCAAAATAAAACAAAGCGCTGGGGTTCCCCAAACTTATGGGGACTCCTCAGCCTTAACGACCAAATCTACCATCAAGCAAAACAAAACCCCCATCCTGCCTTTCCCCCAGATGCAGTTCCTTTTAACATTCTGAGTTCATACAAACAAACAAAGTTGAAACTGAGATTTCACAGATATTCCCTTACTTAGTCTGGTTCAATCTCCTGAAGTCAAACCAAAAATAAGATAGGGCTGCATACCATATATTCAGTCAGAGATGCATCAGGTAGTACAGATAGGGGTTATATCTCAGGTGTATAGAGGGAAAACGCAAAGGTTACCTGTCAATTCCCTGCCTCCAGAGCCTCGCCTAGACTCCGGCAGAGCTCCTGCAATCGGTAGGCGGACTCCCCACAGAGTCTTGATGCGGTCCTACGGGTTGCAATCCCGCCTGCCGCCTTCCCCTCAGAACAAGACCAGACTTAGAGTAAGAAGGATAGAGGAAGATGGTTTGAGACTCTCAGATACAAGGGGGTGCTCTCAATCTCACTTGAGAGGGCCTCGTAATCTTGATGGTCCTGAGGGCCCCGCAATGGCAGCCAATGTGACAACTTGGTCAGCTCTCTGGGTCAACCCACTGAAGTCAAACTTCTGCTGACTCCCCAGACTTCTTCCCTACCCTTCTACTTTGCCCAATGTGATCACCACTCTGGATTCCAACAATCCTCCTGAGTCTACCCGTGGCCACACAGCTCCTTGCAACAGTCCTTTAGACGCAGCAGCGGTAGGCGGTGGGGGTCAACAGAAATAGCAAACAGTAGTGGCCAGCGCAACGGCAGTTGTACACAGTCGGCCGTACAGCGCAGCAACCAGCCTTAGTCTACCAACAACAGTGGCGGCACACAGCAGCTCGCAGCAGTAGTCCGTGCCTAATCTGTGGCGAACAGTGGCTCTCACACACAGTCCACTGGCACAGCTGCGCACAACGTTGTAGATCAACAGCGACAACAGCAGACTCTAGCAAACGCAGTGGCACACAGCAGCGACCAGCAATG